TTGAAAGTAATGGAGATCAACAATCAGATTTAACATCATTATCAACACCACCTCATAGATTACCAACATTATCTGAAATAAAACTTAAATTGCCATCGCATTGTTTTCGTCCAACAGTTCGTGAATCAATGAGTTATGTTGTTAAAGATATTTTTTACGTTACATTAACATTTATTGTCATGTATCAAATTCAAAATACATTTAAATATGGTTTTTTACTTTTTCCTATTTATTGGTGTATACAAGGTTTTGTTTTTCTCTCTTAAAATCAATTATTTATTATTATTTGATCTATTGTTAGGTACTCTTTATACATCACTTTTTGTACTTGGACATGATTGTGGACATGGAAGCTTTAGTTCGTATCAATTATTAAATGATATTGTTGGTGAGTAATAATTAAATATAAAATTACTAATAAAATAAATTAAATTCCACTTAGGAACTATCCTACACACTTGGATATTAGCACCATATTATACCTGGAAGGTAATATAAGTGTTATCTTAGACGAAATTGCATTAAATCTCAGTGCATTTTTCTCTCGTTTTTCAACTATAAAAAAATGCCTCTTCTGCGTAAATATGGAATATTTCAAGCTCTACAAAATTGTTGATTTTGTTTCTCAAACAATTTCCTTTTGTTGGTACAAAGTTCAAAAGAAGAAAACCTACTTATGAGGAAATCTCTTTCGTTACTTCCTTCGAATTTCAATGATTTTTTCCTATAAATGCGAAATAGTGTTCTAATAGAAATTCAAAAAGAATTTGTGCTCCTGTTAACATTTGACTAAACTATTGAGTTTTTATTATGTCTATTTTCAAGAATCCTCAGATCTTCAAAGAACTCGTACTTTTGAATTTTGATTTAAAACCTTGCGCATATAGAGAACTCAAATAGACTAGGTTCCATTAACAGAAGTTTTGAACAAAGACTCTTCGAGATGTGAAATTTTCAAAAATATTAGCTGCTTTTCCATGGATAGTGTATACAACATGCATTTTTTGAAAGCTTCATAGATCCAAGACAGTTTGTTTAAAACTTCCAAAATTCTTTTAATTTATAGGCAAAAAATCATTGAAATCAGAAGGAATAGATGAAGATGTTCTCTCATTAGTTGTCTAATTGAAACGGTCAAGATAACAACACAAAACCGATGTTTATTTTTTAATGAAGATCCCGCTAAATGTTCAACTATCTCACAAAATTTTCCATATAATTCTGCATCGTTGGATGGTTGTTTCACAATTTTAGAAGAAATATTTGAGAGAAATAGTCTTAGAAGCCAAAAATTATGAAAAGACCAATAAAAGTTCTTTTCCGATACACCTATGACATTCTTGTTTATTTTAATTCGAAACAACTTAAATATTTTCATTGTTCAATTTAATCGTTACATAGTTTTGTTCATAATGAAATTCTACACCTAATAGCATAATAATAAACCTTTCATCTAGCAAGTCTGCATTGTGAAAACGTGATTTTTCAAAGTGTACTCAAAATTACCGACAGCTATTAATTTTAAGTTGTTTTTCTCGTAAACACAAGCTCCTGTAACCTTGTAAAGGTCGTGAAGACACAGTACACAAAATTATCTACCTATTGGTATTAAATAGTTTATTTTTGGCAATGATCTCACGAGCAAAGTCTTTACAAAACTCAATAGGCATCAGCAGAGCATTGGAAACTGCATTTGAATGATGGACTAGACTTGAATATTTTAAATTTGAGGTCGACAAGATTAAACTTATTTGAAAAACAAAGTCAACAGTTTTGTACAGTTTGAAATTCTATATATTTAGGTATATAAAGAAAATTTTTTATGCTTATGAAGTTAGAGAATGAGGTGCCAAGGTTTAGTGCAATTTATTCTAGGAGACTCATTAGAAGAATTTCATATTGTTATTATAACATTTGAATTAATATTTTTGACTTAGCTTACTCATAATAAACATCATAAAAATACATGTAATATTGATAAAGATGAAATATTTTATCCACAACGTGGTGTATATTATGAACCATCATTATTAGATGATATTCTCTTTTGGTTTCCTGGTATTGGTTGGTTCTATTATTTAATAAATGGTTATTCACCACGAACAATTAATCATTTTAATCCGGTAAATAGATTTTGCGTTTTTCTAAAGAAAAAAAATATTGTCCTTCTGTTACTTAAGTTTGAATCCTTATTCTATAATCGACATTTCGTCGGTGTTTGTTCTTCACTCGGTGCATATTTAGGAATGGTATATATATATATATATAAAAGAAAACAACGTTTTTTTGAATTTTATACTTTTCTTCTCTTAGTGCTATTTAATGTATCTTTATGCAAGTTCATTTGGTTTTATTAATTTACTTGTTTATCATTTAATACCAGTATTTATTTTTGCATGTTATATGGTTATTATAACTATGTTACATCATACAGAAATGTAATGTATCAGTTTTGAAATTTTATAGAGAAGAGAATTAACGAGAAAATCTCTTCAACTGATGCTTCGTATTTGAGCTCATATGTTTTTCATAGTGTAGGTAAAACGCATTGAAAAGGCCGTTGTCATTAGACTTTTCTTGCCGATTTATGGGTATTTCACTGAAATTTTAGCCTATTGAACGAGATTATGGAAAACAATCTTAAAAACAAATTATAGTTTGAAAGTTTTGACTCAAAAGGATAATTTATTTCTGAGATATCGAATGCTTAGAAAAAACTGGATTGTTTCCAAAGCTTTTATGAGAAAGTAATGTTTGTTTTTGCAAAGATGTTATCTCAAAAAGAGAAACATTCTTTTGTACTTACACTTTCACAATATCGTTAGCAAAATAAGATCTGCTGTTAATGAAAATTTCCACCACAAATTTTTTGTTACAGTTTTTTTGTCGTAATATCCTCAAATAGGCTAAAAATTTAGTAAAATAACCATAACTCGAGAAGAAATGCTTAATAGTAAGGACTCTTTGAAGACTTTTACCTACACTATGAGTTCACTCTTATGAAAAAAAAAAATATGCGTTCAGCTAAAAGGTATTAATTAGAAAGGTTCTCTTGTAAGACTAATATTTCGAAATACGTCATTTATTAGAAGTGTAGGTATAGGTGCCGGTATTTGTAGAACTGATTTTAGAATAACCATTGGTGTATTGGATACCAACGTGTGAAATGAAGCTTTTCTTGTGGTTGGAATAATTTCTTCTCTTCTGATTTCGATTTTCGTCTTGAGAAAATTATTTTAAGATGCATTCGAATGAATTCTCAACAACAATAATAAAGGTTCTCCTTGTTTTATTTCTTCAATTAATAAAATGAGCATTTTTCTGCATTTTCTCTTCCGAAGGTTCGCACAAAAGTAATAAAAGATCGAACTATGATCGTACGAGGAAATCTCTTCAGGTGTCTAATCACTTTCCAACCGAAACGATATTCACTTGATGAGTACTAGAGAGTAGTAGAAAAATCTAGAATGGTTTGGTCTTCTAGCTTTTCGTTCTTGAGATGTCTAAATTTTATTGGATTTTTCAAGATAAAATTGGTGACCGGAAAAATCGACTTTCGAGTTTTTGAAGATGTACGTATATGAACAAAATTTGCTTTTATACATGAGAGAATTTCGAATATTGAATATCTCAGGATGCACGATACTAGAACAGTTACAGCTTGTTCAATGGACTAATCTCATTGAGAACTTTGTTCGTGCACAGTTTAAAGTCGAAGCTCTAAAATCCATTTTCATGTGCCTTGAGAGGAACTACAGCATTTGTTAAAAAAATCAATAAAATTTCGATTTTTCAAGAACGAAGGCTTGCAAAACTAAACCATTCTAGAATTTTCTATTAATTACCAGCACTCATTTAATGAACATCGTCTCAGTCGGAAAACAATTTCACACTTGGAAGAATTTCTTCGTTAGATTTTACTTCTGGTCATGCATATCTCTACTCTAAGAATAAAACATAAAAAAACATCTTTAATAAGGGAGCAAGTTTTTAGCAAAACTTCTCCTAAAGTATATTGAAGGAGATCTATAGTTAAGATTTGTTCTATGAATTGGAAAATATCTATTCAAAAAAAATCTGTATTATAATAAAAAATTTTTTAATCAATTTGTTCTAGTGATGTACCCTGGTATGCTGATTCTGAATGGAATAATGTTAAAGGACAATTATCAACTATCGATCGTGATTATGGTTATGCCCATTCAGTAATACATTCGATTGGTACACATCAAATTCATCATCTTTTTACTAAAGTACCACATTATCATTTAGGTATGAACTTATTATATTATTTATTTTCTCAAAGTTTTTTCTCTTTATTTAATAGAAGAAGCAACAATGCATTTTCGTAAAGCATTTCCTGATTTAGTTCGTTATAATGATGAACCAATTCCACTTGCATTTGCACGTATGTTCAAAATCTTTCTTCAACAACGAAGTATTGGACATGATATACGAGTTTTTACATACACCGAAGATGGCAACATTAACAATAATAGAAAAGAAATTCATAATGAATAATACTCTATCTAAATTTATCATGAAAATAAATAATTATAGAACACTTTTTTGTCCAATTTTATTGTTAAGAACAAAAAAATAATGTTTTGTCATTGTTATCTGTCCTTTTAGATAACGAGTTCATCTTTTTATTGTGATGACATTGTCTTGTTTAAAGAAAAGAAAAAATTTTTTCGAAGTAAAATAAATATGTAACATCATGTGCACTGTATGCTTTATGTGTTATCAGTAACCACGAAAGACTTCTTTAGCTAAAAAAAACATTTTTGCATGCTCTATCTTGCAGAAACCATATTATTTTATTATTCATAAGTATATACGTTGTAGAAAACTATGACAGATTTACCGCTAACCGAAACTATTACGGATGTCGACAAAACCAATAAACCAAAATATGGTAGTCAATTTGATTAATTTTTTGCTTCATAATTGTATAAAAATTATATTTAGACAAAATAAAAATATTACTTTATATCGCAATGGGTCTATCAGCTTGGGTAAGTACCTTTATTATAGTTGACATTTGAATTGTTTTATATTGTTTGATGAGTAATAAATTATTTGTTTGTACAGGGTGATCGTATGTGGAATTTTGCTGTTGGTATTTATTTTATTTCTCTCAATCCAACTAATCTTCAGAGTGTAGCTCTTAATGGTATTGCACTTAATTTAGCTGTTATTTTATTTGGTACAGCTATTGGTGATTGGATTGATCGTAATCCTCGTTTATCAGGTAAACAATATTTATATTTTATTCAAGCAAAATAAAATTTATTTGATTTTTCTTAAGCACTTCGAAAATCATTATATTTTCAAAATTTATCTGTTTCTGTTATGGCTGTTTTGGTTGTTATCGCTTTATATTATCAGTCTTTTCTTCCACCATATTGGATGTATATAATTCAAGGTGATGTTTAATTATCTGTTTTTATTATTTTGATTATTTATTTTGAATATTTTAGGTTTCTTAATTGGAATTGGTATGATAGCAACATTATCTAGTGTAGCATGTAAAGTATCAATATCAAAAGATTGGGTTGTTGCATTATATGGTTCCGATCGACAAAATTTAGCTAGTAAGTTTCTTTTTTCATTATCTTAATAAATAAGCGGAAAGTTTTTAGAGAAGATGTTTGTTTAATTTTTATCGACTAGAACGTATTTCTGACGACTCACAAGCTATGAGTTAGAAGCAGAACTTTGTACAGTTTTCGAATATGGTGTTACGAGAGAACCATCTGAGGTGATACCTCGCGTTTGAGACGAAACCTCAAGTCATTACGTAGAGTTTGCTGAGACAAAAAACCTAGGAGAATTCTTCCATAGGTGCTGCCTTTTCGGAGCTATGGCGATTACATTGGATTTTTTTACCTTAGGCACAGTATTTATAGAAAAAACAGACAAAAGCAATTTGACCTGAAACTTTATCCGTAGATAGCTGTTCAAGTCATTAGAATTTCCTAAAAAATGCAACCAAAAACAGTGACTCTTCTTCGTATATCAAATCCACATAAAAAATCATGATATTCAACCAAACTGACCGAAAGTCTAGTATTTTGTGGATTCGATACCTCGAAAAGAGAGCAATCTTTTTTGACGAAATTTCAATAGGGTTTAATAATTTCAAGAGCTGTCTATCGGCAAAGTTTTAGACCAAAATTCTTTGGTTCACTTTTTTCATCAATACCATACCAAACGTCAGACAGCCAGTGTAATGACCATAGATTCAAAAGGACAGTGTATGGGGAAGAATCTTTCTAAATCTCGTCTAGTCTCAACAAGTCGTATGCACTGACCGGGGTCTCATCTTTAACCTGAGGTATCACCTGAAGTGATTTCTTCGTTAGAAATTATGTCTCAGGTTTTTCAATCAACAGTAGTGAAATAATCTTTGAAAAAATGGAAATATTAGGTTGGATGAAACTTGTAGGTTAACATTTTCAAGGAACATAGGTGTTCGTTTTGGCTTTCTTGAAAGAATTTTAGACGACTCAATAATTGCAGGTGGCGATCATATTTCGAAGTATGAGCTTAGAAATATTGTGTGTGCATTTTTGTTCAAGAGTAGTGAGGATCTTGTTTGAAAGACCTGAATAATTATTTTTAATGGTAAGCCAACAGGGTTTTGCTTACTTTGTAAGTCCTTTTCAAACAGACTAAAATTTGTCGGAGTTGATCATCTTTTAGAGCAAACATTTTTCTACAGATTTTGAAATTGAACTAAACTGCAGCTTTTATCCAAGTAGTTACAAGAACTTTTTTCAAGAGCTCCCTTCTACGTAAAACAGTTGTTGATTTTTCAAAATGGGTACATGAGAAAAACTAAAATTAATATGCCTTGTTAAAACAGAAATAAAATTTTCTAATAATGCATCTTGTAGAATAGCTTCCGATCTACAAGCCGATCTATAAATAAAGATCTCAACTTTTAGTTTCGAATCGCAGTAGTAAAAATAGACAAATTTTTCATTCAAACTAATTTTTTGAACTTTTTAAGATTATTTTACTATTCTTGAACAAAAACTAAGACCACAAATTCCCAAGTTCATATTCGAAAAGAACACAAAACTTTAGTTCTAATTCATGGCTATTGATACTTTCTTAGAAGTCAGAAATGAACACATATCTTGTCTAAAAACTGTCCGATCATCAGTTATTTTGTATTCTAAGTAATTTCTAATCAAAATAGATACTAATGCAACGCTTCGTCGAATTGATCTTCTTAGTGGTGTATTAGCACCGATTTTAACAGGTGCTGTTATGGCATTTACATCACGATGGCTTAGTGCTGTATTAATTGCTGGTTGGAATGTTGTTTCACTATGTTTTGAACTTTTCTTATATACAAAAGTTTATCATTTAGCTGAAGATGTATTAGCTAATAAAGTATCGATTAATAAATCTCATGAAAGTAAATTAAAAAAAGAACTATATATTATGTGATATGTTTTTATTTTATTTATTTATTTTTCTTATTCAGAATTAACTGGAAAAAAAGAAAGACCGCTAAGAAAGTAAAAATTTCAAATTGAAAAAAAAATTATTTAATTTCGAAATTTTTTAATTTTATCAAGGTTCTTTGCATCTATACACGGTTTAGGAACATATGCATCTTTATCAGTATTTTTGCCTGGACTTTCACTTGCATTACTTTATATGACTGTTTTGAGTTTTGATTCTGTTACACGAGGTAAGTATTGAATAGAAATTTAAACTAAATATATATATTTACATTCTTATGAAATTTATGCTTTAGCTTATGTGATTGAACAAGGTTTATCAGAAGTTGTTTTGGGTTTATTAAATGGTTTAGGATCAGTTCTTGGTATTGTTGGCACCATTGCCTATCCATTTTTTGTCAAACGTACAGGTCTTGTACGTACAGGTATTATTGGCTTTTGGTCGGAGTTTTCAATGTTAATACTATGTTTAACATCATTATTTGTTGATGGAACATCATTTGCTCCATTGCAACATTTAACAATCGGTTCATGTCACTATCATGAAACATTGAATAATAATAATAGTACGACAAATTTAATACCATATCAATGTTCAAATTCGAAATTATCTGTACTATTACTTGTTATTGGTATAACTCTGAATAGATTTGGTAAATATTCTTTAGATAAAATTTTATCTTAATTTTTAACTATTTTCATTAGGTTTATGGATTGCTGATTTAACAGTGAGTCAATTACAACAAGAACGTGTTCCAGAAAAAATTCGTGGTCGTATTGGAGGCACACAACATTCACTTAATCAATTTTTTGATTTACTTCGTTATGCACTTATTATTTGTTTACCTCGACTGACACAATTTGGTTATCATGTTTGTTTATCTGTTTTATCTGTATTTACGGCATCACTCATTTATACAATATGGTCATGTTCATCAGCTTCTCATCTTGTTCCACCAGCTGCTGATATTGAAATGACTGAAACAAATGCTGATTTAGCGAAACATTATGAAGGTCAACTTGGTGAAACATTTGACTATGTCGATGAAGATGATAATAAAACCTAAAAATAGTTTTTTATTGAATTCTTTTTATTATGTTATTTTACAATGTTCGAAAAAAATTAGGAAGATTTTAAATTAATAATATTTTCTTAACTCTAACATTGTTTTCTACGTTGAAAAGTTTTTCTTTTCATATTTCCATATTTTGATTTCTTTAATATCAAACAACGCCAATAAGCAATATGTAATTTTTCATATTAATATACGTTGTGTTATAATAATTTCTTTTTCGATATTACGTTTTTCTTATAAAATTTTTTTGTTTAATTCTTTATAATCATTCATAAGTACAACAGACAAATCGCCACAGAGAATATTTAATGAGTTATGCTATATAATTTGTACTATATCAAGATAAATTACGTTCCATATTCAATGACAATCAATACTATTACTACGTGGTAGTAACTAAAATAGATATTGACAATTATGTTCATATACTTTTGATGCAGCTTTTTATCTGAACATAAGATTTTCTTCTTATACATATCACAAGTATTTATATGTATGTGTATTTTTTCCTGAACATGAGTTTTTCAGAATACGTAAAGGAAGATCATTTCTATCGGTATTAGGATCAAAATTAATTAATACTAATGAGAAAACCTTCATAATTTAAAGATCACTTTTGAGTTTGGACTTTGTGCATAAAGTCGATTACAATCAGTTATTAAAAACCTTAAAAGGATAAGGGTTCCTATGCCTTTCCTACAGGGTTGCAATCGTTGTATTAAAACTTCAGCCTGTAATACGGTATGCATAAAAGAATCGAATGACGCCATAGATAACCCTACTGTAATCAAAATGTTTTGAAACTTTCAGTTCAAAAGAATATTCTTTTGACAAGATATTGAATTCTCAAAAATCACTCATATTTCATGAAAGACCGAAAATCTCATGTTTTTTTAGAAAACCATTATCTCATGAATAGTACATTCTTTTAAACTGGAATTTTCAAAATAGTCTAATTATAAGTAGGAATATCTGTGAGAAAAAAGTGTCCGTTCAAAATATTGTCATTTGGTCTTTTTTTATATACTGTGCTATAAGCTAAAATCTCGGTAATACGGCTATAACTCAGTAGGAAATGTTTTGGAGCCCTTTTCTTTTGGACTTTTTTAACCTCTCATTGGGTTCTACCTTAAGTATAGAGTATGAGCTCAAAGTTGATTTTCAATTTAGGTCGGTTACCTCGTATGTCTTGATTTTGCATCTTTGTAATCCATGTACAATGTGATACATCTCGTCGTTGAATTGTACTGAATGATTCATCTAAGTCAGTGTATACGGAAGATAATGTGTAATTTAATTGTTGAGAATATATACTTTGAATAGTATCAGTCATTTCAAAGCAGTTAACACCTAAAAAAACACATCGATGATAATAGATGTGTCTATGGTTGCAATAATAGATCTATAAATTTTGTTTTCATACATTTTATGAATGTGAATAACTGATTATAATAATAAAGCTTTATTACATGATAATTTAGGAAAAAATATCTTTTTATTTCCTGAAGAAAAGATATAATTATCAATGAATTGCACATAGTATTTTTCGATTTCTAATTAATCGACAATTTTTTTTATGACTAATCTATTTATCTTACCGAAAAGAAAAAATTGATATTATGATATTACCAATTGGAAAATGAGAATACTTTTTACCCTTTTGATCCATCTAGAAATTGATCGGAAATCAGCAGGAAAATCCAGAAATTTTTCGATTCAGAAGACTACGCCATAGCTCTTTCAATCTCGGGTGTTTTCCTGCTAAGAACGTCCTATATGCTTTCACTTAGGCTTCCAATGATTATTTATTCCGTATGAATTCGTCACATCTTTGCATGTATGATAACCCGTCAGCAAAAGTCATATGATAAAATGTACTACTGTAATTTCTCTGTACCGATGAAAATCTTAGTTTATTATCTTATTGAAAAAATACAGTTTTATTCGATATTTTTTGTCTGGAATATTGAAAAATTGCTATGATTAACGTTAACTCGTTGTAGTACTTTATTCGGGTAGTATAAATTCATTTAGTCTTAAATCCCTAGTGTAAACTATTAAATTGATTCGTTTCATGTATATGACAGATCGTCAAAGACTAATCAAATTATCTTTAAATGAACAAATACTTCAATAATTTTTGCTATGTCATACATATTTTGATCAAGTTCGATCATGTAGCTCAATAAATATTAATCGTTACGTAGATGTTCTCATTGTTTTCTGCATACTATGTTGTAGATCAAATCAACAATTTGTCAATCTTAATATATTCTATAACAACAATCACGAAACATCAAGTACAGAAAAATACGATGAACCCTACAGAAATATAGCTTATCAAGATACACTGTTTAATCGTTGAATAATGATCCCAATAGTGGTCTATATATCAAGCTTTTTGAATCATCATTGAATTATGTTTCTATTTCTTTCAGAAGAATTTTTCCAAGCTATTATTTTCTCTATAAGCTGATAAACATCACTATTGAAACTTGAGCCTATGAATTAGAAATTTAATATTAACAAAAGATTGTTACTTAAAAAAGAATTTGCTTTTCTCATATATCAAAATTTTTGATAAGACTACAAAAGCAATAACTCCATGACCATCCATTAAATCATTCAATGAATTTGATTTTTCTACAACTAAATAAGTTTCAGTAATATAAACAAAAATACATGTTTCATTTTTCATTGTTCTAATTTTTATTAATTAAACATTAAAACACAATTTCTATATCATCATTTAAACTAATTAAACATACATAACAGATTTTTTTTCTATCATCACATTTTTAATATTCTATTATTTTAGCATAAAATAATAAACATTTTATCCACCAGGGATAAACAGAACAGATATTAAACAAGTACATTTTTATATCTGATTAAAAATAACATACTAAAACTCCACCCGGGTTTTCAAACACATTGCATATATTAACAAAAATAAAAGAAAAAAACAAATTAACACATATATTATTTAACGAACATATTTAATACAAACAAAAATGATTATTTTTAATTCTTTTACTAATAAACTTGCAAACTAAAATCTGACTTTTTATATTTTCAACTTAAAAAAAATAAAACAGAACATTGAAAATAATACAAGAAAAAAAACTAAAAAAAAACTGAACTAATAAATTTCAACAATCTTCATCATCCATTGTATCCATAGACATATTGAGTAAGGCAGATTGTCCATTATGATTATTCAATGAACTAAATAAAAGAAGAAAAAGAAAATGTCTTTCTACTTATTTATTTGATATAAATTTAATTCTAAATATCATCTTGTTTTCTTTCAAATAAATAACAAAAGAAATATATATATATATATACATAATTCCTAAATATATATCACACATAACAAACAAAAATAAAGAATATTTTTCCTGTGAAAAGAAACAAAAAACAAAATAAATTAATCCAATATAATTATCTCGTCGATTTCATCATCAATTGTCCAAGACAAATTATTTTGATTTATATTATCGACAATCATGATTGATCTGTACATACGAATAGGGTGAAATAATAAAGAAAATTTAAAAAAAAAATAAAGTTTCTAATTTTAGGAAATAAAATTCGATTAAAAACTAAGAAAATTTGAATTTTAACTTACTTTGTATTTTCAGTGGGCGATATTGATAAAGAAGATGAACTACTATTTTCTGTATTTAATGTATCATTTTTTTGTTTTCGATTTAATAAAGCCATTTTTTTATTATAATCAGTTGATCGTTCTCTTTGCCAAATCCAATGATTCGGTTGTATAAGCATAATCTGTAATCGAACAAATATTTTAAATAAAAGTTTCTAAGAAAAAAAGTTGTTTTTTTTTACTTCATCACATTCATCTTGTTTGACTCGAGCTCGAAAGCCCATACGAGTCCAAAGATCAGTTTTTTTTGATAAAAATCTTTTGAAATCATTTTTTAAATCAACTGATGGACGACCATCATTTGTTTGAAGCGCCCATGGTAATAAACCATATTTAGCTGTAAGATCTTCTTCAACAGAATCATGTGCTAACCATCTACGTATGAAAAAAAAATAAACATTACATATATGTATACTTAATTATAGGATTTACATGATTTACTGTGATTAGAAACGTGACATACCCTATAAAAAACGTCCTTTCCTCTCACTCAGCGTCATAGACTATGTGTAAATCATGTCTCATTATAATATATGAAATACTTTCTTATTGTAACTCTGAAGATTAAGTAAAAGCATGATGAAGAAATGTGTCTCAAAGTGTAGATAGATAGAATAAAATAAGCTTCCTGTAATTAGTAACAGCAAGTACATTGTGTATCACAAATTAGTCTCGCAGAAATGACGCTAACAGTTTTTTCACTTTTAATGTTTTTTTTTTCGAATAAAAATATTCCAATCAGTATTTTTTCTTGTGTGATCGTTTACTTTTCGTTGATTATTTGAAAGAAGGAAAATGAACAAATGTGTAGTCATTGCGACAATCAACATATTTGTCAGAACGAAAAAAAAAAAACAGAACTTCCAATAAATCTATGAACAAATAAAATATCACAAAGAGAGATGGTTATTTAACTTTTTGATAGATGTTTAAAATAGGTCAACCAAGCAGCTTTCTAGAACTCTGCAATATCAATATGACCTTCGTCATAATGTTACCACAATTTCATTGCACATTTATCTATTTTGAGACTTTATCTTTTTTGATGCTTTTGAGTTGAATATAGAACTTTCGGCTAGCGAGCTTTTCCTCTCTCCCTCAAATGTCCTATTTGAACGATTTTTTTTTATAGCTTTGTAGTGATTTTGCACAGATACTTGATTTTGAAGCACTATTTGCCTTTCTCTTACAGCGCATAAAATCAAAATAAGCAGGCAACGTTGTTGTGAAGTGAATAAGATTGAAGAAGGCCATGGGAGAAGAACGACCTGGTAAGCGGGTCGTCTGCTGTGCGTGATGCAAACTTATAGTGGATTTCGTTCTTTCCCTTTCCACTCGGTCAACACATCTAACACTCAGAGAATGAAAGCAATTTCTACCTCTAAAAAATATCAGCAATTCTGATTGGAGCTCCCATGCCATTTCATACTCTTGCAGTCGATGATAACGAGGATTTTTTTTGCAGCAAATCAATCGTAATGTAAATGTCTGGATGTGGTAAATTTATATGTTTTTTCATTGGAGCATGTCAACTTTTGAAATAATTAATAGAATGTGGTGCTATATTACGTTTGTGTTTTTTTTTTTTTGCTGGCAATATACTGATTGACGCAATGACTACTTGCTTACTCATTTTTCTTCTTTCGAATAATCAACGGAAAGTAAATCTTCATACACAGAAAAAAAGACACTAATTGGATATATATTTTTTTTATCTAATCAAAAGACAGTAAATCATGCACACGAGATAAACTTACAAGGCTAGATAAAACGAATCTTTTGTATAATGATGTTCACGTAATTTTGCTCGCCAAAAATAGATTAATGTCATTGCCAATAGATACTATGTCAATAATAGAAAAAAATAATGATTGATTTGAATTCAAAGTAAAATATTATTTCGTACTTTATCAGCATGTCGAAAATGTTTATCATATTGAAGAAAATCAGATATTGATGAATTATCTTAAAAGATTAAAAAATCATAAAATATATTTTAATGTATTTTATTTTTCATATGAATAAATACCGATTAAATTTAAAAATAAAACAACACAACGACGTAATTTAAGTGTTGAATTTCGATGAAAATTTTCTTTGTATTTCAATGATACTTGATGATTACTTATGGGCATTGATGATACAAGTGCAAATGAGTTTGAAGAATCATATTGTTGACAACATTGATGTTGACAATGACTATATAATGGTTGAAAAATAGCTGTTGTCATAGGTGCATAATGATAATGATAATGATAGTGATAATGATGATGTTGTTTTGCGTCATTAAAATTTGTTGTTGTAGACAATGGTTGTCGAGATATGGAAGAAGATGAGAGCCAATCGTTGAAAGACATCGACATTATTATTCGACTGAAAATAATATTCTGAAATAAATTAAAACTTCATTAAAAAATGTTGATTGATATTAAAAAGTTCGAATCAAGAAATTGTATGAATTGAATTAAAAAAAACAGATTGACGTTTAAAAAAACTCGATTAACAGATCCAATAGATTCTATTGAAAATTTTTCATTCATTTTTCTATTAAGTAATGAAATTTGAGTATGCATATATGATTTGCCCCAAGCAGATATATTATACTATTTTCCGCTTGTACAATTTAATATTATTCTTTAATAAAGATAGAATATCACAAACATTTGATTAATAGATTGGTTTTTTTGAAAACTAAGATAACTAAAATTTACCGATGATTAGTTTCTCAGTCAAGTTATGTATTGTTTTGTATAATTCAATTTAAGATTTTAACACCATTGATATGCAATTTTTGACTTTTCCATTATTAAAAAATATATATTCGATTTATATCCGTAAGATTGCTTAATTTTTCACGCAGTGCTCGATTCTATTTTATTTATAAAAGTCTACTAACTTGAATAATAAATATTATCATAGAAATGTCGAGATTTGAAGAGGACTCATCAAGTGTTCACTTTAATATTCATATTCTTTAAATATATGTTTTAATTTCTTTACAAGAACCGTTGAACATTCAGCTTCTCATTTATTTCGAGTGCTCGATTTGCTGTCTACGGATTTCCTGTTCGTTGATTAAATAAAAAAAATATTCCAATTAGTTGTTTTCTTGTTTAAGAATTTATTTTCCGTTGATTATTTAGACGAAGAGAAATAAACAAATAAGTAGTAAGCGTGAGTTTGAAGGTTGATGTGTAGGATGAAAATGAGATGTGAAACTATAGAAAGGACACTTATACTAATCCACTCTCATCTCACATTTACCCTCATCCTGATCCTATATTCATCCTCAATAGTCATTCGTGCATTTCTTTTCGTTCAAATAAACAATGAAAAGCAAAATCCCATACAAGACGTTGAGTAATTTGAATATATTTTTTATGCCACCAATGAACAGAAAATCTTCATTAGCGAAAATTCTATCCCTTTTCTCGTGAGAAAAACAAAGCAATTACAAATGGAAAAGAAATCAACAGATAATAAATTGTGTCAACCTACTCACTTACTCCTTTTTAATACATTGAACATCTGCATCCTGATATCATCATTCATGAATGGATCATGAATATTTGTCTAGCTTTGATTTTTTTTATTTCTCTAAAATTTTCATCTCCACCAATTATTTTCCATTATAATTTACTTTATTTTAATAAACATAAACAAATATATTATAATGTTAAAGTTCGAACTCTTTTCATCTCGACCTGAATAACCTCAACCAAAATTTTACAGAATCGATAATCGTCATCATTCATTATTATTTTAAATAATTTTTGTGATCTATCAAAACATTTCAAAAACGAAAAAAAAAACAAATACTACTTAGATCCTTTTTTTGTTTTTATTCTTCTCAAACAGAAGTCACACACAAAAGAAAAAAAAGGAAAAAAAAACGAAATTTTTGGCTGACAAGATCATGTTCTAATGAAAAAAATCGAGAGAGAGAGAAGAAAATTTTAATTTGACGCATAGACATTCATCTTTCGTTGTTTATTACTGTCTAGCCATAGAGATCGACATCATGAAACGTATTTAGAAATCATACATATGGACCAAAAAAAAAAGAAAACGAAGAAGACAATAAACCGACTGATTGTTTTGTCGAATGCACGCGAACAAAATGCTTTTCATTTATGTTGAAATAGACGACAGGCGAGAAAGAAAAACCAAACAACTGACAAAGACGACAATAGGAAAAAAAATGAAATATATATGAATGTATGATAGTTATAGTAAATATATGAATATATATATATAGAGAGAGAGAGAGAGCGAGACAGTGCATACGCGTACAAAAAAAGAGAAGATGATTTTGATTATATACAAAAGACGAATGATGTCTACGTTGTTGATATAGTTTAAATAAGATTATGCAACCGGCAGGGAAAAGAAAAGTATAAGCAAGGGTTGAAAAAGCAGTGTATGTGTCTTGATTTAAATTTAATATGTAAAAATGATCGTTGCACAGGTTTACATCGGTTTTTTTCCATCTTTTAATAAAGCTTCTCTCGCACCAGTATTTCCACCACCTCGTGGTGGTGTTACTGGACGACTATTATTTAATGATGGTGTTTTGGTTTTCTTTTCGGATGGTTTTAAAATCTATTGAAAAGAAAAAAGCAAAAAGGAATAAGTTATTTTTTCTAATAAAAAAAACTTTTCTTTTCTTTGTTTTTACTTGAAAACTACACATAAGTGTTTCATCAACAGACATCATCGCTCCGGCATTATCAAATTCACCACAATAATTTGGTGCTGAAAATAATGTAACTAATTGACGTTTAGCGAAAAATTCATAGCCATCTTCAACAACCTAAGAGTTGCAAAGAAAAAGTTGTTTTCCTTTTTCAATATTATAAAATGAAATAAACAAACTTGATGAGCGCGACATATAAGATCAAGATCATGTTTATGTAAAAACTTCGATACAATCTCTGCTCCAAATGTAAATGATACACCACGATCATTTTCTCCCCAACCATTGACTTCTTTATCTGGATCAGACCATAATAAATCACATAATAAACCTTGATCGGGTACATCAGTTGGTCTCATGATTCGTCGTATTTGTTCCATAGATTGTAAATCTGGGCTTAAACCACCATGACAACAAAAAATCTTTTCATCAATTATTGCAGCAACAGGAAGACAATTAAAACAATCAGTAAATGTTTTCCATAATTTTATGTTATACCGTCGTTTACATTCATCATAAAATCCATATATACGATTTATCGATGCACATTCATGATTACCACGAAGAAGAAAAAAGTTTTCAGGATATTTTATCTTTAAAACAAAAAACGAATTATTTAGAACTCTGGTAAAAAGCTAATCAATTACTTTGTAAGCTAATAAAAGACATATCGTTTCGAGTGATTGTTTTCCACGATCGACATAATCACCAAGAAATAAATAATTAGATTCTGGTGGAAAACCGCCATATTCAAAAAGACGAAGTAAATCATAATATTGACCTAAAAGTTCAATTTTTTTCCAAACACAACTAAAGTACATATTCAATTAGCCTACCATGAATGTCACCTAAAAAATGCCAAAAAAGAGAATTCAATTAATTTTTAAATTTTAATTTCAAATTTTTTTTCCTTCTCATACCGCAAATTTTAAGTGGTGCTTCCAGTTCAAGTAAAATTGGTTGACTAAGAAATATTTCTCGTGATTTTAGACATAACCCACGTACTTCATTTTCGCTTAAATGAATATTTTTATTGGGTTTAGCTCCGCGAACTAAATTTAAAAAAGCATTTGATTATTGTCATATATTCGAGAGAAGCAAAAGAAAAATTGTTGTTTTTTTTTTATATATTACATTCAAGTAATCGTTGAATAATTCCATCGATATTTAATTTATCTTGTTCGTTTGCCATTCAAACAATAACAAAAGAAAGGGAATAAAACAAGAACAAAATGCGAAACAGACGAATTAATAATACGTTCAGGACGGGATATTTTAAATGATGATTTGTTTTTCTTTTTGCTTTCAATTATTTTTCACCATTTTTTCATATCCTATAAAATTGCTCTACACGAATCACAAGAGTAAAATACGTTCGTGATTTTGTTATCTATAAATTAAAAAACAAAATGATGTTGAAGACCAGAAAAAACAACATGTAGCCATTTCTAATAGTATCGATACTCTGTCTTGAAGACATAAAAATAAATCGACTGTCTCTTTCGAAGTGACTATTGCCATTGATGACAAATATTTTTCAATCCGAAAGAAAAAGGCAAAAATAAAAGCACGAAAAAAAAATTTCTTTATTTGAATTTTTTCATTCTTTTTTTCTTTATGTTTGAATTTAAGTTATTGATGCAGTTGAAGGAAGATCATTGTAGAGAATGAATTTTATGTTTTGATTGGTTACTCAATAGCTAATTGTTTATTTTCATTTTTTTTGTCATCTGCTTGCCGTACTGTTTATTTATTAATATTTCTATAGATTTTCACAGTGGCGGATTTAGGATTTTTATTATGGGGAGCGCTTCAATGGGGATAGAGGGCGATCATAATCATAAGACGTGTTTTGAAGCTCATTATGGGCAGTATCAGTTCATTTTAAACCCTTTTCTTTTCGGAAAAAGCTGAGAAAATTCTTTTGGAATGGCGTTGATCGTTCTGAGCACCACTGTCTAAATTGGCTACTGGATTTTCAATGATGTTTTTGTAGGAAAAACTTTCGTTGTAAATAAAGGCAAAACTTAGAACAATTGTTTGAACAAACATGTAAATGTTTTTCAATAATTTTTAGTAAGAAAAGAAAGCGACGGCAAGCACTTGCGTGAAAGAATTATAATATAAATTTTATGAAGAAAATGCTCGGTATAGCAATCTTGTATAAGGAAATTCGATTCAAACTAAATTTCCAAGCATGTTTTTTTCATTGTTTTTGTTACGTTTCCGTTTACAATTTATTTCTTTTTTTTTTGTGCTCTTTGCATACGACAGCTGTTAACCATAGAATGACAATGCGATAGGTATTGTTCATGTTCTGAAAAGAAAGTTTTTTGTTAAATGTGACGAGAAGGGAAGCTTTTATTAGTATTCTTACATGCAATATCATACTTGTTGGTTTATTTTGTTACATAAGTTCTTAGTAGTTTCATATAGTATTTCTCAATTTGCTTGTCACCTATTGAAGAGAAACAACGTATTAGTAATAAGTTTGAAATTTGAGGTAATAATGTAATATTTCTATAGAACAATATCCTTTATGATTACTCAATATTTCGTATTTCTAAATCAAGATGAGTAAGTCAAAATAATAGTAATACTAAACCAGGGTTGGCTCGGGGCAGCCAATATTGGGAGCAAAGGGTGTAAAGGGTTTTTTCT